AAACAACAAATCAATCACTTTCATCTCCCTGTTTAGTAATATGTAATTACTACTAACTCTCATACACATTATCTGTGTTTTAAAATATTGGACCCTTCTTAAAATAAATATTCAATAGGTTTAAATATAATATGAGCAATGTCTACGGTACTATTTATTTTCTTAAACGTCGCTTTTAATAAATAACTTCTTGTTTTTTTTTTCTCAGAAACATCAAATATTTTGAAATAAATTAAAAATAGAGGCGTATTCAAGATTTTAAGAGTACGGAGCACTATACCATCGTTTAGTTTGACTCCATTAAAAGTTTGCCATAACAACAACTTATTGAGCAAATCATGATTAGTACTATTATCACAAGAAAACAATATTCAGTTCACGATTGTTCTTAACAAATTTTTGTACTCTAAAAGTTAAGTGTCTTTATTTTTTTATGAAATAGTGGTCCCAACATAGTGGAGACATAACTAACTCTCATTCTTGTTTTCTTTTTCTCATAATTTTGTCGTCAAATGGAAAGCTCAAATTCCTTAAAAAGCTATCTTGAATTGGGCATTTCACTTGATATTAGGGAACTCGCTCGCGACCGTTAGGTTTTGGGTTCGAGTCATGCTGGAGAGGAAGTATGAAAACACTATAGATTCTTCTAAATTGGGAGGGGTAAACAAAAAAGAAAAAATGAACAAAAGAAAAAAAAATTGAAGCGGAGCCTTGGCGTAACTGGTAAAGTTGTTGCCTTGTGATCAGGAGGTCACGGGTTCGAGCCGTGAAAACATCCTCTTGCAGAAATACATGGTAAGGCTGCATACAATGAACCCTTGTGGTCCGGCACTTTCCCGAAGGGGAGCCTTGGCGTAAGTGGTAAAGTTGCTGCATTGTGACCACGAGGTCACGGGTTCGAGCCGTGAAAACATCACAATGGAAAGATATACTACTTTATTAAAATTAATACGGAAAGATGTTTTTATCCTTTATTCATGCGTGCTGTGTAAATATTAAGGACATGGTATCCTTAACATTTACACTGCACATGAAGTTAAGAACGCCAAGTTTAACAACGGAAGGTGCAAATATAGGATACTTTGTCCTTAATATTTACACAACATTCATGAAGTTAGGACACCATGTCCTTAATATTTACATAACACTCATAAAGTTAAGGACACTATGTCCTTAACATTTACACTGCACATATGAAGTTAAGAACATGAGGTCCTAAAGTTTAACAACAGAGATGCAAATACAAGTTAGGGACATTATGTCCTTAACATTTACACTACACATATGAAGTTAAGGACGCCATGTCTTTAATATTTACACTGCACATATGAAGTTAATAACATGATGTCCTAAAGTTTAACAACGGAAGGTGCAAATACAGGATACTTTGTCCTTAATATTTACACAACATTCATGAAGTTAAGGACACCATGTCCTTAATATTTACACAACACCCATGTCTAGCACAAGGGTATTTTCGTCCGGGCGAGTAAAAAATTATTAAGCACTGGTTAAAGAATAATACATTTTAAACAGTGGCTAAAGAGTAAAGAAATCTCTAATTAGTGGCTAACTGTGCACTTCCCCCGTTTTGTTTTAACATTTTGTTTCTTATTGCTACCACACGTGCATAATTAATTATAAAAAAAAAAAAATAAACTTTTAAATGAGATGGTCGTAATTTTGCAATACTAAACTTACACGAATTGGCACAAAGAGTCTATTGGGTGTACAAGTAAACCCCCTAAGTTTCTAGATCAGCCTCTCTGTTTATTGCTCATTGAGAATGATAATTAAAGCCGTATCGATCGAAGAAAATAATATGACAAATTAAACACAAATAAATTAAAAGAAAGCGAATTGCCAATAATGGTGAAGACAAAAAGAGAGGAAGTTTTATCATCATATGAGACGCAATTTATAATAAAACATTTATATAACAACTCCAATCATATATATTGCATGATCGTAAAAACTTATTCGCACTAAGTGTTTAAACCAAACTGAATCAAGACCTCTATAAGGTAATTAATAGCCAACAATGTACTATTGAGATGATTTAAGGAATGCGGGAATAACTACCTGTAATAAAACACAGACTAATACGAGCAGACCAGAAGAAACAAGATTTAAATTATCTTAACGACGACGTATTCTCCGTATAAACTTCACAAAACACTTAGCTATTTGAACTTTAATTTGCCCTCTCTTTGGAGGAAGTTGTACTTCCTTTTTCTTTTCTTGTTCAGCAGCTGATCCATTCTGCACTCTTACCAAAATTGCCTTCATGGCTAGCTGATATAGTAAAATATTGATAACTTCCGTTGAGCCGAGGATCTATCGGAAACAGTCTCTCTACTTTTCCAGGGTAAGGGTAAGGCCAGCGTACAAACTACTCTTCCCAGACTCCACTTGTGAGATTCTACTGGGTTTATTGTTGTATTGATAACTAATGTTCAAGCAAATGAGAAGATCTCAGGCTACAATATCTGAAAAAACAAGAATAGGCTAACACAAAAAGTTCAGTACTTTCTTGTGTAACAAGGTTTTGATAGGACTAGTGATTGCCCGGGTCAGTGTGCGATCATCAAAGATAAAGTAACCCTTCAGATGCTCTCTCTGCTTATGCCAAATACCCCCCGGCCGGTTCTGCCGGATAAGGCCAGGAGCTGTTTGAGGAATCACGGGGCCTTACTTATTCTGGTAGGACTTGATTCTGAAATGGAATGATTGATAGAATTGATATATCAGGGAAGAATGATCGAGACCATAAAATCTTTTAAATGAGCAGTACTTTGGGTTGAACTTGGGCTGGTCAAAATGAGCTGAATCAATAAATGTCAGTAAAAGTTTTAGACCAGGTTACAACTTACAACTGAAGAATGCTGGTTGAAAACATGGAAAATAGTGATTTCTATATGATGTTTTTTCAGGTTTAGTATGAATGATTGATTGAACAAGGAAAAGATATATTTTCTAGCTATATCTGGTTTTCTAAATTTGAAGTCTGCTTATTTTCACAGCTTTAGAACCAGAAGATATATATAGAAATAAACCATAGCTTAAAATTAACTTAATTTATAAGGCAAAAAAATGATGACTTTTTTTTTTTTTAGATCAATAATTGACACGACATATGCACACGGGGAGGACTTTGAACTTGACCCTCTTGACTTCAATAATTTCAAGATGATGGGAAATTAAATGCAACTGTTAAACAGCCATATAAAGATAGAAAGTACAATGATATATAACTTTTATTAAACCTAGAGTAGAAAAACCATAAGCTCTCACTTATCAAATAAGATAACTTTCTTTCATTTTTGTTATGGAAAGTGAAAGTCGTTTCGTTTAGTACGAGATCGCTTATATGTGAGATTTTTTACACTATCAGTATAGTCGTCACTTATTACAACAAGTTAGTCACTATATTTATCAGGCTACTAGTTAATGCTTATAATAGAGACCTAATTGTAATTGCATTATAAGTGATTTATAGAGTACGGGTTCGAGTCATGGAATCAACCACTAATGTTTGCATCAGGGTAGGCTACCTACATCACACCTCTTGGGATGCGGCACTTCCCCGGAGCCTGCATGAATGCGGAATACTTCATGCACCCAGAAACGGACCCACGATTTGAAGGTGTCGGGGGCACAGGAGCGGACTTCTCAACCAGTGCGTCCCATCGACTTTTGATCTTAAGGGTTCTAAAGAACATATATGACCGTTTTCAACTTAATACACATCTATGTCCAGAATTTTTGCCGAGGTTAACGGGATTCCATGACCACTCTGCGCTAAACATAAGTCCGCCTCTGCATGCACCGGGCTGCCTTTTTTACTATAATCTAATTATATAAATTTGGTTTACGTCAATGAGTGTATAGAACTAAAACAAGTCAATTAGTGCAAAGAGGAAAATATGAATTGCCAAATTCCTTGTCTTCCACTAAAAAAATATATGTTTCCCTTTGTGAGAACAATGAAAGCTCTGGTTGAGTTGAGAAGCAGACAGGTCAAATTAATGTCTTCTACTCTTTCTATGGAAGATGAAAAAAGTAGTACAAGATTGTAAAAGACATCTTAAAGTACCTAATAAGGCAAGACTGACAAAGAGGTACATTTTCTCTTTTAGATTAATGGCACAATAAGATCTCTCCGATCAAAGGCGGACTTGGGTTTGAAGGTGCAAATTGTTCAACTAGTGTCCCCGTTAGACTTTTGATTATAGGAGTTCCAAGCAAAATATATGATTGCTTTAATATATATACTTATAAATTCAAAAAAATTATCGAAATTATCGGGGTCCGATGACCCCTCTTCCCGAAGCATAGATCCGCCTCTATCTCCAATGCTGCCACTATTGCCTTCTTGCACCAACCAAAGGGTCAGAGTTGATATTCTATCAGTGGTGGAGTGGCTTGAATCAAATCGTGTGTTAAAAGAGGGTATTACGATAGATATGTTCCTTATTAAGATAAAATAAATGTTTGCTTACAGCCTCAAGTATCCTTTGGTTCTTGTCTCCGAGGTTATTCCTATATATTTTTCTCTCTTTCACCAGCCAGCAGGTGTTCCTGTTAAACCAGATATTATTCACGGCCTTGAAGCAACGGTAAAGTTATCTCCGTGTGACCAATAGGTCCCGAACCGTGAAATCAACCACTAATGCTTAAATCAGGGTAGACTGCCTACATCACATCCCTTGGTGTACGGCAATGGCGAAGCCACATGGTTATAAGGGTGGTCAGTTGACCACCATTCGTTGAAAAAATACACTGTATATATAGATAAGATATTACGTTTTAAAGGTATATAACACATATTGAACACCCTTTGTCGGAATTTTTTTCACTTATTTCAAATTTGAATACCCTTGGGTAAATTCCTAGCTTCGCCACTGGTGTACAGCCCTTCCCCGGATCTTGAGTGAAAGCGGGATGTTTCCTGTACCGAGCTGCCCTTTAGTATAACAGGCAGACTAACATTTTCTTCATGATACAACTTTACATACTTTATACAATTAAAAAGGAATAAACCAAAATACATTTCAATTTTTTCATCTACAGCTGTAGCTGTATTGATCTAAACTTTAACAGTGAGCAATCTTTACAAGAGGGCATGAACAGACACATTCTGAGAGCTCATTTTGTTATAGCAAGAATGGAATAGACCAAAAGAAATGTAACTATGATAATTGCTCCAACAAGAGTGAACTGTGGACTTGTCCATAACATAAGGTTTGATTTCTCTGCTCTTTTAATAGGGTCAACTTCTTCAGACAGAGGATATTCGGAACGCCTAGGATTCCATGTTACGTACTTGTTTGGAGAGAATTGCGAGAAGAAGTTCTTTCTGCTTTGCTTCCTGAAGCTTGACCAGGCCTTGTCCCAATCAGTTGAGGATTTATCGCCTACAAAAGGAAACAATTTGTCATAACTTTCTGATAAATGAATGACCAAATATGTAAAAATAATCTTCACCAAGAACTTGGTCCAAAATAGAAAGAACAATTTCCTACGAGATTGATCCGATAAGGTTTCCAAAAGAGCAAGAGTTTCATATGTAGATTCACCAGTTGCGTACTCATTCAAACATTTATGCTAGAGATCCAAGTATAAATCAGAAAAGAAAAAGGTAAGACTCGCCACCTAAATTCTTAAGAGCACAATGTATTGTAAGTTCAACTGTGTAACATTACGTCACAATCAGTTTCTGTAATTTATGGAGTATAAGAGCTGCTATTATCATAAAAAAAAGTAATAGATGCCGAGGCCATATTTGAAGTACAATTGACCTTGCAAATGAATGCCCGAAAGATATTATTCTCTCTATCTTCTTCTGGCATTCTGCTCACTCATCGTATTATGAAGCAAGTACTTGATGCCCAACCAAAGGTGCAGATGGATGTCCAGAAAATACCTAACCCTATATAATTCTGAAGTGCATAAACCTAACTACAGTATACTTCTGCCAAAATATATAAGATAGTCAGAATCAGGGGCAACTAACATAATAACAACAACAACAACGACCCAGTAAAATCTCACTAGTGGAGTCTGGGGAGGGTAGTGTGTACGCAGACCTTACCCCTACCTCGAGGGAGTAGAGAGGCTATTTCCGAAAGACCCTCGGCTCAAGAAGACGAAAAGAGACAATATCTGTACCACCAATAGAAACCATAGGCAAAATAACATCATGAAAATGAGAAAGTAGATGCAAAGCAAAAGCGATAGACAGTACATAGACCCGGCACTATGAAAAGCGAAAGAGTAGTAAGACACAACATTGCCACTAGCTCACTTCGACAAAACCCTACCAGACTAGCCTCACAAGGATACGAAGTAAGAAAAGACTCAACTACCTCCTAACCTACAACCCCAATACTCGACCTCCGCAGCTTTCTATCAAGGGTCATGTCCTCGAAATCTAAAGTCTCGCCATGTCCTGCCTGATCACCTCTCCCCGATACTTCTTAGGCCGTCCTCTACCTCTTCTCATGCCCTCCAAATCAGCGGCAACTAAATGGGGATGAAAAAGGAACAAACTCCCTCCCTCCCTCTCCAGAACTTTGCAATCAGTTTTATCTGATTTTGAGCATCATTTTGTTGGGAAAAATTGCACAAAATAATAATATTCACGGTAAACAGAAGGAATAACGACGGACACCAAGATTTGGAAATTAACACGAATAAAAAAGAGAAACAAGGATACCAGAATTTTTAACATGCAAAAGCCTTCTCAACAAAGGAAGAACCACGGCTTGGAATGAGCAACATACTATCACTATAGTAAGGAATATTAACCTTGGTAGTCTCGAGTAAGCTACTCAAAAGACCACTATACGCTCAAAGAAAGAACGTGCTTCTCTTTACCACGATTATTACTTATGTGTGATATCTTCTCCCAATAACACACTCTAATTGCAATATTGGCTCTATTTTCCATCACACGAGCTCTTTCGATCCAGCTCTCGTGCTACTGCTGCTTAGTGTCTTCTTATCTGGACCAGCTAATCAGTTGAACCAACTCATTCAAAAATGGACGGAGCTCCAGCTAAATTTGGCACAGAAGCCAGACTGCAGCGAGAACTGTTCAAAACGAGTAAAAGTGGGAATCATGTCTCGCTATGAGAAGGAAAGACTGGTATCTCAATCTACTCCTTCGGGCGGATGTGTGTGTATGCGTGTATCTCTACAGGCTTTTGCTCGTATCACCTCACCCAAAATCTCTTTAGCAGTAAGAGGACCTCTCAAACTCTTTCAAGTTTACGTGCCTTCGACATTTAGGGCTAGTGTTTCATGAGCCAATACTGAGCTTTACTACAGTTAATCGACATTGAAGAGCCATTTGTGCTACTAAACACCTTTATAGAGAAAATATATAATAGGCAGCGACATAGTAGATGTACTTAATGGATGTGTCGACAGATTGGTCAGTATGCACGTTTAGCGAATATTAAGCCACCAAGAAGTAATTAAATATGCCTACTGACGGAAGATCCTGAGGTACCCTAAACTCATGTCTATGATTGATCAGGACATCCTTAAATTGTTAGTAGTTGTTGAGTTGTGTCCCACATTGGTGGGTTATGGGTATCTTGGTCTCCTTATATGGTCTTGGGCAATCCTCACCTCACAAGCTAGCTTCTGGGATTGAGTTAGGCCCAATGTCCATTCTTATCCGTAGTAATAAGACAAAAATAGGCAATGAGGATACCCAAAACAGAGGATGCATCAATAGAATAGTGAAGACATAATATATATTTTTCCAATTTGGAACTTTTAAAGTAGTTCTGAACCTATGGGCAGATAAGAGGTTAATAGACAGTCTGAATGGTGCCAAGGCTGATAAGATTTTGAAAAAGCGGATTTCGTTTAAAATATGGATGCTTACTGTCGCTAAAGTATGGTATTGAATGAAAGATGTATATGATTGTGACTGTATTCTGGAGATGCTGGATTCTATGCAAATATAACGCGCAGTATTCAGAGCTTTGTAGAGTTTCTTCAGCACCCCCGCTTGGTGCTTTAACATTAGTGAGGTTACTTACCTTATAAAAGAAACGGTGCCAAAGTTGATATTGTCATAGACATAGATGCATGACATGTATACATGTTACTGGAAAAACCGATGGAAATGGATCGTGTTTATAGGAAATATTAGGAAAGTAACACTCTTTTTAGTACATTGCCACCTTACCTATCCCTGATAATGTTATCCCTTTAGCAAAGACCAAATTGGTGATCAGTGTTTTCTCACTAAACATTTAGAGGCAGTTATTATAAATTTATAATGGGTTCTCATTGTAATCCTAAAATCTAAAGGCAAGCTCCATGCCAAGGTCATGCCTATTTATGTTGGATACTCCAGCCCTATGAAAACCAGTCAGAGAAATTTCAGCATTATAGAAGGCATTTTGTTTTAGAACATCGGAGGTTTATTCATGTAGGATTTGCATATAGTTCAGAGTAACACGCAGCGGAAGACAATAACAATCCTAGGCAGATCTTTTTGTCTTAGAATCTAAGACCCGGTGAAGAGAGTCTCGTTTCAAAAAAAATTCGATAGTGCGAAGACTCTATGTGTATCCACACCGAGACCGATCTTTGCTATCAACTCTTTGATCAATAAAACCCGCGAACAAATTGAATGAAAACTTGTGCTGAAATTTTTTTCTCAAAAATTGCAGCCCAAAAGTAAAAGAACAGAAAAATTTTCATGTCCAAATATTTATTGACTCTTGCGGCACTTCCAAAAGAAGTTACTTAGCCACGTTATTTTAGTTATGCATATACATATTACTTCACCAACTCTTTCCCTTAAAGCTAAGGAAAAGGATGAGGTTGTGACCGAATGTGAAAATCAATTCACATAATTCAACATTTTCCTTCTTTACAATTTTATTTATATTGTAAAGTTACAATCACATTTTATATATTGTAAAGTTACAATCACATTTTATATATGTATCACAGTGGCCGCCTACTTCAAGGACTTATTTTTTATGTCCTTTTATGGACTTTCCTTATATATACATGAAGTGAACACATTTTTCAAACAGGGCAAGTAAAAGATGGCGGCTTCAACGATGACGGCTTCCTTTTTTTTCTTTCAAAGTCCATTCCAAATTGGACTTCACATAATCCTCCTTTTTCTTGAAAAGTTCACATTACTAATCCAATTCAAACTTGGATTCTAACTTAGAAATATTTTCCTATTGTAAAATTCAAATCCCATCCCAATGGATTGAATTTGCCAAAATCTTTAGGAATTCAATTCCTAATTGAATTTCACAATCAAGTCTTTAATAATATTTATATATCCCTTATATAAATAACTATTAATTATATATATCACATACATATTTTAGCCAAGAGATATAATTTAAATTTTTATTCCAAATAGAAAACTTCAACTTGTCCACAATATTAATTATATCTTCTGTGCTAGCAAAGAATATAATAATATTTTATTTGGACTAATAACTAAATTTATTTGACTAATTAAATTCTTTAATTAATTATCAAATAATAAAGTAATTAATCCTTTAGCAAAGGTCAGGACACTCGTTATTGTGCGACCCCATAGGTTCAATACTAAGCCGGTAGTTAATTGATCACATCAATATACTAATCAAGGGTGGTGTCTAGCAACACTCCTTAACGACCGGATAGAATGAAGTATACAATTTACTCTTAGGAACCAATAAAAGAATAATGTAGTAATTCCTTCTGTCCTTATAGCTCTGGGTCACCAGGATATGGTTCAACTGTCAAATCCTAATAGGCGACCAACTATGTGTTCATATAAAATATAATCGACCATTGAATGACGTAAGAAACCCTTTTCTTCTTTCATTCAATCGCCCTGACCAAGGTCTTAATTTGGTCGATTATAATTCATGACAAGATGGAGCTTAAACTCATTACCAAGAGTTGACAGATTACATCTTGATTAATCACTAATTCTACAAGTATTTAATCGTACCCAATATCCTTTCAACTATCGCCCTAAGGCCATAGGTGTCTAGTATCAAAGCGCAATAAATAACTTGTCGATTACTTTGATGATCTCAGGTCAAAGGAAAATCTTACATCACATTCTTCAAGAGAATATCCTATTGACAGTTTATGGTAATTCTAACCATTAGGAATTATCCAATGCATCGCTTCAATGATATATCTCTATATGCATCTTTAGTTAATGAGATCAACTAATCTTTATCCCATAAAAACGATCACATAAATATTGATCTAACCGAATTACTAATGTCCAAATTAATACTCTCACGATCAAGAACAAAATTTAGATTAAATTGTAAGAGACTTTACTCTCATTATTATGATCTCTATCATGATGATAAGTCTCAAAATTTAATCAAGGACCTTATTAAATTAATCAAGCAATTAT